TATCAGTAAAAAGAAAAGGAGGACTTGTGGTACCTTAGAGACTAACAAATTTATTTGAGCATAAGCTTTCATGAGCTACACATGGGATGAAGTGAGCTGTAGCTCACTAAAGCTTATGCTCAAATAAATTTGTTAGTCTCTAAGGTACCACAAGTCCTCCTTTTCTTTTTGCGAATACAGACTAACACGGCTGCTACTCTGAAATCTGTTTTTATATTAGTGATACTTTTGGCAAGCAAGGAATAATTCTTTGCCAAGTTGAGTGGTGGTTTGTGGAGGGGACGGGGACCCGCTGAGTGGGGCAGGGGAAACAGTCAGTGTTTGCCATGTGAGAAAGGGAGAAAAACTGCCCACCAGGAAAAGTGAAAACTTTTTTTAAAACCTTAGTGAAAGCAATTATATTTTCATACTTCTAATGTAATTTCTTCACAAATATTGGAAATTTTAAAAACAAAATAAAAATTATGAAAACTGTTTTTTAAATACTATGTGAATGATTGATTTATATAGAGATAGTTATAATTATAAACTGCTAAATATATTAAACTTCCATTTAACAAATGGCTCTTCAGATACACTGCACTGTCAATCGGTTTTGTATCCATACTCTCCAGTGAATCATTTCCTCTCTCTGTATTGAAGCATTCCTAGTCATGCAAGCAGCCGTTGTTTGGGATTCAAATCCAAAGCATTTGACTCCCTTAATAATTTATTTAAAGATAAATTGTAATTACTCATTGGGATAATTCAGTGGGAGAGAGAGCCTGTTTTAAATAGACTAACAGGTCAAAGGTTCATACTAACGATTTGTGATGCCTTGTGAGACCTGACAGAAAAGGATAGGAAGATCTAGTCAACCAGTAAACACTTAGTAGAGGAAACTGCAAAATCATGGGTATGTATGATCATGTTTGCTCTAGAATGAGCTAATGGCCTTCTGGGGATTGAATCTTGGAAAAGGTAATCAGCAATTGTAGATGATTCATCTCAAATGTACTGGTAGGAAACTGGTAATCCGATTGATGTGAGAGCCTACTCCAGTACATGGAAATAAGAAAAGTGAGACTGGTTTTGTGATGGAGAGGAGAATGATTTTGTTGTTCGAGTAGTGTCCCTATGGGTGCTCCACTTTAGGTGTCTGTGTGCCTATGCACCTCTAATCGGAGATTTTTGGTAGCAGTGTCCCCTTGAACCCGCACATGTGCTCTCCTGCCCTTGTGGTCTGCCTCGAGGCTTTTTAGCACTGCTGGGTTGGGGGAACCCCCTTCAGTTCCTTCACTTCCTTCTCTACTTCCTTTGGCCTCTGACAGAAGGAGCAGTTGTCCCTTCCTTATCTGTGTCATTAGCATAAGTAGTGTTTGTTTTGTTACCTTTGTTCTCCCTAAAAGTACTCAGGCTAGTGTTTTGTTTTGTTTTTTATTTTATTTATTTTATTCCTTTGGTTAAAAAAGAAAAGAGAAAAAGAAAAATAACTTAACTTCCTTCCCTGTCTGGGGGCACTCTTCCCCCCCCCCCACCCCCCCGCATCTAGTAGACTCATAATTTTTTTTCAGTTTAAAAACAAAAAAAATAAAGATGTTCTTCTGCATTTTCCTCCCTGCTAGAGGCTGACACCCCCTGCCCAGGGGCTTGCCTGGCTCTCTGCTCCAAGCAGTGCTTCTCCTCCCAGGAGTCAGTTCCTGTAATGGCCAGACACTCACTGTGCCTGGGAGACCCTCACAGAAGTGCTTTACCTGCCACAGCTAAAACTGCAGCCTCACAGGAGCTGGGAGCTGAAGTAAAGATTCCTCCCTATAGAGAAAACACTTCAGTCTGCAGGGGACTCCGGTGGGTATTGACCCCGGATCATCCCCGGAGCCTTCACTTCAAAATGGGTCGGGTGATGGAGAGGAGGCGGGAGAGAGAGAGAAAAAGAAGCAGCCACCAGCAGACTCCCCCCTGGAAAGGCTCCTCTGAGTAGCTGGTCCAGCCAGAGGGGAGTTCCCCAGTGTGGCCATGTTGGTAGGACAATACCAGCAGAGGAACCTCCTGTTGTGAGCTCAGCTGCCGCTCTGGTTTGGCACTGAAGCTCTGGAAGCTGAAACCTGAGAAGGGGCTTCCTGCTGTGAGCTCTGCCCTGCTCTGAGCTCTGCTCTGCCCACCCACAAGGGGCTTCTGTGAGCTCTGTGCTGCTCGGAGTTCTACTCTGGGCAACTACTGCACTGAGAGGGCACAGTTACCGTACCATGTCTAAAAGAGCGACACAGAGAAGCCCTGCTGTCAGCTCTGCTTCCGCGCCCAGCCACCGGAGGCTTCCACCGTTATGCTCTGAGGCAATTGTACCATCCCCTAAGGAGAGGGGACAGTTACCATACCATCTCTAAAAGAGCGTCATAGAGAAATCCGTTGGTACCAGATGCAACAAAACTCCCATCTAGGAAGTGTTCTGCACCTTCCCAACCATTGATACAGACTACAGACACTCCTCTGGGGTTCTGGATGAGCCCATGGTAACACAGGTGCTCTGATACGCTGGTGACCTGTGGCCTCAGTACCCAGGGAGAGACAATTACCATACAGTCTCTAAAAAAGTGGCACCAACAAACTTTTTGTACTGGGCAAAACTCTCATTTAGGGAGTGCTCTGCCCAATTGTTGGTACTGACAGTGTACCACGGACCCTCCTCTGTGGTACCAAAGGAACCCGTGGTCCTGCATGAGCTCTGGTACCCTGGAGACCTGATGATTAGGGAAGAACCACATTTCCCATTACTTGGTACCAGGACCCCAGTATTGAGCACATCCTAACACCCAGAATCGCTCTTAGCACTGGGCTGTATACTGCCAATACCCCAGTCAGCGGCACCCTTACCCACTGACGAATCTGACACTGGCCAGGAGGAGATCATTCCCTGGCCCCTCAAGGTCTCCCACCATCACACTACAAGGGTCATCCCCAGTTCCATCACGCCAACCACCTGTGCCTGCCTTCCTGCCTCTCCTTCCCAAGGCCATATTGTAACTCTTTGGGTTTATACACACGCATGGCGTGACCATCTCCGGTGTCTCTCAGGGGGAGTCCACCAGATAGTTTGCTACAGCTTGGCACCTGAGCCGGGGCAGGAGAACCCTTTTTCAGAACAGGAAAGAAGGGTGAAGGGGAGAAAGAAGGGGGGGAGGGAAAACAACAAAAAACAAAACAAAAAAAAACACTGAAGAGGAAGCTCCCTCTTCAACACACGTCTCATCTCTCCCAGATGAGACTGTGCTGCCCACCCCTCATCGAGTGAAGATTTAAGAACTTTCTGGATCTTACCAAGAGGGTGGCAGACGAGCTGCAGATTCCCTTACAGGAGGTGGCAGGTACACATCACAAGTTGGTGGAAATTCTGCATACTACCTTCTCATCTAGAACTGTCCTCCCAATGAATGAGCTGATTCTAGATCCTACCAAAATCATCTGGCAGAGCCAGCCTCCATCGCACCAACCAGGATCGGAGTGTAAACAAAAACAACCCTACATCTCTACTCAAAGAGGCAGACTCTGTTTTCAACATCCGCAACCCAACTCCATCATAGTGGATGTGGTTAATGCATGAAGCAAGCCACATAATACCATGTCAATTCCATATGATCAGGCTTTGCAATGGCGTATTCATCTAGAACATTACTGTTTAGAGTAATAAATTACCAAACTTTCATGGCCAAAACAATTTTGTTAATCTTGGGAAACCCAGGATGTTTCTGAAACATTACTGGAAACACAAAAGAACAGATTCAGACCATTCTTAGAGAAGGTCACTTAATAGCCAGACTGGTCCTAGAGACACCACTGCATGTAGCTGTTACAGCTGCCATAACAGTGGTAGTGAGGTGGGTTGTGGGTTTTTTGTTTTGTTTTCGCTACACCCTTCTAGATTGCCCAAAGAGCTACAGACTTCCAATTTGAAGGGCCAAACTCTTGGCGGAGAAGACAGATTTTCTCTCCACATCCTGAAGGATTCTCGGACCACGCTACACTCCTTAGGAATCTGCGCTGTGGAACAGAAGAGAAGATATACCTCTCAGCCACACCACAGATCACAATCTTCTCAGTACTCACCATCTCTGTGCTGTTATGAGCCACAGTGTGAGAGGGCTCAAAAGTGAGAACAGTCTGCACCCCAGTCCATGACCTCTCAAACTGCCTCTTATAAGCACTTTGAGCTGGTTGGGGTCCTGAACAATGATACCTTACAGCATCAACTGCCATCTATACTCCTGTCACACCACTCAGAAGTCACCTTACCTTACTTCACAGCAGTTAGGACCAGCTCTAGAGCAAAGACATTGATTTGTAGCCCTGAATCTACAGGGTGTCTACTTCCATATCTCAATACAACCATTGTACAGGAGATTTCCTACTGCTTACCTTTGGGGCAGGATCATTATAGGTACAGACTGCTCCACACAGGGTAGTCTCCAAGGTTCACTTAATTGTAGTGGCATACTAACCCCGGTACAGTGCCTGAACTTTATCAGCACCAACCTGATGCAGTACAAGCAAGAGCGCTCCTCTCACTACCCATATTCACCATCCTGGAACACGTCTCCCTAATATGCTGTGGAGCTCACCTACACAGCAACACACAACGGTTATGATGGACTTAATATGACCTGTATGTTTTGTATAAACTGCCAAGGAGCTGCCAGATCTCCCTCCCTCTGCAAGACAGCATTCAAAGTTTTTGGAATTGATGCACCCATCACAATGTGCTCATCTCAGTTGTCTGCCTACAAGGGATACAGAAAAGGATAACCAACAGTCGCTGTTGAAATTTTCTCACGACAATGAGTGTATACTGAATTCAGAGGTGCTTCAAGATATAGTCACCCTTTGGGGAAACATTCACTGGAGGTTGCCCTCATCTTCCCAGCAGACAGGGCCCACTTGTATGTCTTTTCCCAGTTTTCTACCCTATTCAAGATTCTGTTGAAAATTCAACAAAACAAAGCAAGAGTTATTTGTGATTGCCCCTTTTGACTATGAAAAGTCTGGCTCTCTTACCTGATGCAGATGGCAATACGCCCTCCTGTTCCTCTGACGTCAGCCCATTCCTCACCCTCTCTCTCAAAACAATGGGCTGACCCTTCACCCCAGCCAATGGGTCCTCCGCCTCCAGGCTTGGATCTTTTTCTTCCAAGGCTTAGAAGCAGAATGCTCTGACAATCTGAAACACATGTTGCAACACAACCACAAGTTGACCACTCCACATACCTGTCTACAAAATGGAAACGTCTCCAAGTTTGTACCATTCCAAACGGACAGACCTAGCCTCATCTTTCCTCTCTCTGATTTTGCACTACATTTTAAACTCTCACTCAGCTCCCTTAAGGTACATCTCATGGGAAAAATGGTTTCCCACTTGGAGTTTGCTCAACCACTAATGTGTAGACTCTTTAAGGGCATTGGGACTCTCTTCCCCCATGTGACACCACCCGCTCTAGCCTGGGACTTTAATGTAGTTCTCAGGGCTTGGACTAGACCTCCCTCTGAGTCCAGGGCAACTTGTTCTCTCTTACACCTGTCCATGACAACAGCATTTCTAATTGCCATCACCTCAGCTAGGCACATAGGAGAAATAGCGGCCCTGATGGCACACCCATCATTCATGACCTTTGTCTTTAATAATAATAAATAGTAATAATAAATAACTCTAAGGCCATATCCCAAGTTTCTCCCTACTTTTTGTGCACTTTCCATATGAATCAACGGATCCATCTCCGTTTTTTCCCAAAACCACATTGTGACAACTGGGAGATAATTGTGCATATGCTAGATATTAGAAGGACTTTAGCATTCTACTTGGACAGGACTAAGGACTTCAGGAAATCCCCTAAACTCTTCCTTTTGTCTACAGAAAGATCCAAAAGCTCTGTGATATCTCCTCAAAGACTATCCAAATGGGTCTCTAGTTGCGTTAATCACTTAGCAAGGGCGCAACTTGCTACCGTCCATACACACTCCATGAGATCAGTTCCTACCTCAATCTCTCTAATCTATAAAGCAATGATTGGGGCCTCTGTCCATACTTTCTCAGAACATTATGTGATCACTGAAGATTTGGCCGCTGACACCATCTTAGACTCCACAGTATTCTCTATAGTAAAAGACTCCGCTCTGAAGTCCCAGCCTCCAGTGGTGGGTACTGCTCCGGAGTCACGTAAAGTGGAGCACCTATAGGGACACTACTCGAAGAAGAAGAGGAAGTTACTCACCTTGTGCAGTAACAATGGTTCTTCGAGATGTGTGTCCCTATGGGTGCTCCACAACCCGCCTTCTTCCCCTCTACTTTGGAGTTCCTTCTCTACCACAGAGCCCTATAGAGAAGTGAGGAGGGTTCGCCCGTGCAGTGGCCCCCGAGGCAGACCACGAGGGAGGGAGAGCACATGTGCGGGTTCAAGGGGACACTGCTACCAAAAATCTCCGATTAGAGGTGCAGGGGCACACAGACACCTAAAGTGGAGTACCCATAGGGACACACATCTCGAAGAGCCATTGTTACTGCACAAGGTGAGTAACTTCCTCATACATGGTCCTTCTGCCATTTAACTATTTTGAAGGGAAAATGCAAACTTTTTTTATGCTGAGATACACCTGTCTAACTTGCCATGTGGGTTCCTTTTTCATAGATTGTTGACACTTATTCCAGGAAGTTACTCCAATTGCCTTTTGTACCTTGCTTTTTTTTTTCAGCTTGATTTAGTTTAGAGTTTGACTTATCCTGTTAATTGTTGCTCTGTCTTATTTGATGAGTTTGAGAGATTAATTCTATCCAGAAAGAAGTCATGTGTTCTGAGTTTGTTACACATCACTGTCTCTTTCTGCCTCCATTCAAAAACAAAAGCAGATTCTCAAAGCAGACTTTGGGCAAGTAAAGCAGTAATTGCATCTTCTGCTTATCCCAAGGGTGGGAATTTAATCAGATCTGCACTGTGTGTACACAGGTTTCATATGTTGTTTGTTCAGGGGGAGAGAAAACGAAGACGGTTCTGGCTCAGACACAGTTTTTTTCAGAGCTAAATGCACAGGGATCTATTGCTAACTATTCTCCAAAGATAATCTCTGTTTTATGGGAACATTATTGCAACCTGACTGGGAGTCACCGCCTATCTCAAACTGATTATTGAAGAGAGACTGCTGACGGTTTGTGCTTTGCTCTGTTGCAATCCTTTCTTGTTTTCTCTGTACAACCCACTTTTATCCTCTTGTTCTTAGAATTTTTGGTTGGGGAGATACTACTTTGGGGAGTTTTTTGTTTGGTTTACTCTGCAATTTGGAATAAATACGGCGAGGGAAGAGTAGGGGGAAGGAAATGCGTGGTTCAATGCTGGAGGCCTTGTAGACAATCAAGACTGCCTTGCTGATAACACACATGTCAAAAGGGCCAGTCAGTTGTAGTCTTTCCTCCAGAGTGCCATCAATTATGTTTCAGGGGGACCAGGCAACACTTTTTATAGCAAGAATGTATTTTTTTTTTACTAACTGTATTTGCAAGCAGCTGGCCAAACGATGTCGCGAATCTGCTTGGCCCTTATGTGGGACGTGCGAAGGGGAGAAGAGGTTTATTTTGTGACCTTCCCTTTTCTGTGTACCTGCATATGGGTCAGGCAGAACTGGCCCCTAAGAATTGGTACAACACATTTTTCAAGGAGTTCAAAATCAAACACAACAGTGTGCTGGAGAGATGACATCAGGCAAGCAGAAGAGCTTGCCTTAATTATATGTTGTTTGCTTGCATATGATAGTACTTTGTATATGGTTCTTTATTTTTAATGTAGAATAAATTAATTTAGATGGTAGGTGGTGGTTGCAGAGAGACAATGGAAGAGAGAAGTATTTGAAGGAGCAGAGAGGACTGTGTGAAGTTTGGGATTAGAGAGATGTTCCAGGTGTACATTGTTAGAATGCATTGATAATTTTGAGGGTTAAGAAAAATGTTTTTAAAGACTCAAACCTAAACTGAATTGTAGTAATGCAGTTGTTTTCCACGGCATTTCTCTGTTTAAATTTATCAAGTAGTGCTACCTAGTGGCCAGTGAAATGTTTGCAATTGTGTTTAACCCAGTAAAGGTAAGAACAGTTTTTAGTGCAGGGATCGGCAACCTTTGGCATGCAGCCCACCAAGGTAAGCCCCCTAGCAGGCCGGGCTGGTTTGTTTACCTGCCGTGTCCACAGGTTAGGCCGATCACAGCTCCCACTAGCCGCGGTTTGCCACTCCAGGCCAATGGGGGCTGCAGGAAGCGGCTGCCAGCACATCCCTCAGCCCGCACCACTTTCCGCAGCCCCCATTGGCCTGGAGTGGCGAACGGCGGCCAGTGGGAGCTGTGATCGGCCTAACCTGTGGACACGGCAGGTAAACAAACCAGCCCAGCCTGCTAGGGGGCTTACCCTGGCGGGCTGCGTGCCAAAGGTTGCCTATCCCTGGTTTAGTGTAACACATGTAAGTTATTGTCTGGGTTCTCACAGGCGAGGGGAGTACTAGATTTTTATTACAATGCACTTCTGACAGTTGACTGAACTAGATGAAATTGTAAATGAGCTTGGAAGTGGAAGATTTTTTTTCTAAACAGTAGCGTCTATAACTACTGTACATACTGGAGATTAACATCTTGGACTATTGGATATGGAAATAAAATGGCCAGTATACGAATGAGGAATGCAGTCCTAAATATTCAGCTTTTAGAAGAGAAATTCTTAAGTATATTTAGACAGGAAGATATCACAGAATGATACTTTTTGCCAGTGCACCACAAGGGGGCAGGATTGTATTATGGTATGGATATAACTGACTACTGAATCCTTTGCAGGCACTGATATGTTTGGGATACTAAATCTTTATGGCTTATTTATAAGCAAGTATTACCATTCCGGACTGGAAATAAGGCATAACAAATTAACGGTGAGTGTAATTAACCATTGGAACAATTTACCACAGAGTGTTTGGATAATTCTCCATCACTGATTCATTTTTAAATTAAGGTAGGATATTTTCCTAAAAGATATGCTTTAGGAATTATTTTGGGGAAGTTCTATGGCCCGTGTTACACAGTAGGTAAGACTTGACAATCACAATTGTCTCTCTTCTGTCCTTGGAATCTGTGCATCTATAAATATCTAATAAACCAAATTTATTTTGAGTGTGTCCTTAAAGAGTTGCTGATGTCTTCTGGAGTATTTGTTTTCTCTAAGCAGAAGCCTTGGCAGACAACTGATGCACATTTGTTTTTATTTGTCTTTCTCCACCCTTGAGAATGAATGATGTATGTGTGAAAAGAACATCTTGCCAATTTATCAGATGCAATTGGTTTATCTTTTACAGTTTTCTGATTATTTGATCTCATGGTCTCTGTAGCAAGCAAATGCTGTGACAGAGACATGTGCTTGCTGGTGGTGAAACTGTAGTCACTGATTCCCGAAGAAACAGTTTCTATGCTAATGACCTTAGTAATAAAGTTGCAAGGCAAGAGAAATTCACAGAATATGAGAAATAAGCAAAATTTGCGTATATATCACTTTTTCCATGAGATGTCAGAGGTTCTTTGAGGGCCTGATTCTGCAAGTCACTGGCATTTAGTGAGAGCAGGATCTCAGCCCTAAGATTGTGTCCATTAATTAGGAAAAATCATAGAACTGCTTTGGAACCCAGACTACAAATGCAACTTCCTTGTGAATAACTGGAATAACTGATGTCTTAACCATACTAGAATTAAAGGGTAAACATATATTCAGATTGGTCCCTGAGTAATGGTAATCAGCTATTGGGGGTAGGGGAAAAGGGATAAATGCTGGTACTCTGCCAAGCACCACTCATTTGTGACACTGTGGTGAGATGCACTGCTCACACTAGATTGTGCAGCTCTTCATAACATGATGATCCATTTGCTTGGGTCCTTTGCTCAGCTGTGAAATAGCTAATGGTGACATTTAAATTGTCAGATCTAGGACTGAGTGTTTAACATTCACTAAAGATCTATGTCTGCAGACTCAGGCAGATGTCACTGTTTACCTTCAGCTCAGTTGGAAGATTTTCTTCATAATTGTTAGTGTTAGACTTCCCCAGGGAGCTGGGGAGGGCCTGAAACTTGTATTCTGGAGCACAAGGAGCAGCCGGGAGAGGGTGAGCAGTACCAGATCAGTGAGCCACCATGAGTTTGGCCCTATCTGACC